TGCCTGTGCTGTGAGGGCTCATCTCAGAGCCTGCAGTAGGGTTTGGGGGATGCTGGCTCAGTGCTCTGTCCTTTGCAGCAAAGGAGAGGTTAATAACGCAATGTGCCTGCCTGTTACCCTTGGCTTTRTGCTCATTTTTTTCTCCAGAAGTAGAAGAGCTATGCAAAGAGCATTTCCCAGGGGATGGAGGAAGGATTTCAGCTCCCTGCACAAACTAAGAGTTRCCTGTGCCTGTAAAGAGAGCAGAGCTTGGAGCCTGGTTTGGTCAGACCCTGCTAGGATGGAGAAGAGTGGCTTGTCTGAWATGCTGAGGTGCCTGGCTTGCCCACAAGCCCAGCACAAAAGCAAGTGTGTTCCCTTTCTGGGTCCAATATTTGAGTGCAGCCCTGCAGAGTGGGGGATGTCGGGGATCACTCACCTGCTGGAGTGGCTGTGTCCCCTCTTGGGATGGAGGGTGGCTTTTGGTGCCCWGGCTGTCTGGCCTCAGGAAGGAGAGCTTGGGAGCAGAGCTGAGAGGAGACTGCTGTATGTAGTTAGGGAAAATAAAAAGGTTAGGGTGCTCCAAGGGGGCACAAATTACTCATAGAAGGTTGTCCAGATGTGCCCCATACCCAAAGGATAGGAAATAACGCAATGAAGTTAAAGCTTGTTTGTAACAYACTGGGGTTACAGCCAGTGCTGTAGTATTACAGCAGCAATCCAGTAAATACAGAATATTTACTTTTCTGGCTGCCAATATTGTGTGTGTGTGCTGGAGAAGCAGGCACAGGGCTGGAGGCAGCCAAGGTCAGGCTCAGGGATTGTATTCCTGCTTCTGCTTTTGGCTGGTTCCCTGTCTCCAGTTTGGTGTCTCTGAATTATTATTTATGGTCTTCCAGAGATTGAAACTCCTTTGTCAGAACTGATTGAGAAGCTTTGGAACACTGAGATTAAACCATTTTGGCTGGGATTGAGGTTTGCAGAAGCATCTCAAAGATCTCAGCTGATGCCCAAGCTCTCTGTGTCCTGGTGGGTGAAGCAGCTGGTCAGGATGTGAGCACTGTGCAGCCTGTGCTGTGCACTGAGRGTTGATGCTGCAGAGGTGAAGGRATGGTTCAGAAARGGAGYRGGTGKGTTTTAGGGATGCTGGGAATGTCCYGTGTTCCATCTTGGGGATGCAGCTGAAAGGTGCATTAACAAATCACTGCATGTCAGCAGAATGGAGGAGACTGTTCATGAGCCAGGCAGTGTTCAGAGATTGCTTTTGCTGCCCTAAAGAGGTGAAGGTGCTTTTATTTATCCAGTATAGGTCAAAAACCACTCACCCAGGAGCAGGGTGCAGGTCCTRTGCAGACCCTTCTTTTCTGCCTTGCCTGGGGCAAGGAATCTCAGTGGTAGCTGTGAGGCCACAGCATGAAACAAATCTTTCCTTCGCTTTAAAGATGGCTCTTGTCCTTTTTTTTTCCTCCAGAGACTTCTTCTGCATTGCACATTAAATAGTCATTAGCTAAAAGACTTTGTCATCCAGGGAGCAGAGCTCCCCAGCCAAGCCTTTTCCTTGTGTCTCAAGCTCCAAGGTGCCAGCCTGCAGAAAAGGCTTTTTCTCACTTGCATTCTCCTTGCAGCAGTGTAGGAGATGTAGAAATGGCATTGTCTGGCCTGACAAACTGGACCAAGGAATGGCTSGCAGGGGAGGAAGGTTTGGGCTGGAAAAATGCATGGGGAGTTCAGTAGCAGGGACAGAGCTGAGTGTGAGAGCAGAGGTGTTGAGTTTGAGAGTGGGCTGAGGTACCAGCACCAGGTTTGGCACTGGGTGCTGAGGTGTTTGCAAGCCTGGTGTGGGTTTCACGTCATTTYTACCACGCAATTCCATGAAGATCCTTTCCTGCCAGCCGTTTCCTTTGCTAAGCACCTGAGGCTTCTCTGGCAAGTCCTCTGAGCATGAAATCTGGCTCTAGCAAGATTTGCCTGCAGCAAAGAGCAGGAGTAACTCCTGTGCTGAGCAGGTGAGAGGCTCTAAGCTGGTTCTAAGGTGCTGGAGCTGTGGGAAGGAGCACAAGGAAGCAGCCCTGTGAGCACATCTTCGACCAAGTTGGAGAGACTCCAGTCTCACCTTGAAGTCTGTCTCCAAGCTCTGCTTTCTGAGCCAAGAAGCCTCCCCCACCATCCAGCTTCATTTCCTTCCCTCTGCCTCAGTGTCTTCAGTGCATGAGGGTGTCGCAGGTGAGGTTTCTTTGCGCCAACTCTCCAGTTTCCACGGAGCTTTGTGGTTGGATGTATCATGGGAGATGTTTTGGACTGMGTCTCCCCAGGCTGGCTAGCTGGAGAGCCAGTTATTTTTCAGGATTTAGATCCTCCCTGACTGGATTGTAAATCCCTAAATAATGAATGTTGGTTTCCAAATGGAGGATTCCTTGTTCCCTGCCAAGCAGATGCAAGGATTGGGTTTGCCTGTGGCCCAGAGTCTCTTGAGAAGCTTTTGTTTACAGCATCTGTTGTGCCAAAAATGCGTGAAGCTCCCTGGCAGCAGAGATGCTCTTGTCAGTTGGGTATCCTTGGCTGGTGTGTGGGTATGTCAATGTGTGTCTGATTAATTGGAACAAGCTCATCAGAGGCTATTCACCAGGTGCAACACCAAAGGACACCCCCAAAGGCATTGTCAGAGCTGTGGCTACACAGAGGTTTGCCTGCTGTCCTTTGCATTGATATGGTCAGGGTTCTCACTGGGTGAGCAAAACACAAATTAAATTCTTGCTTCATAATTCAGTGTAGAAAGTTTTTCTTTACTCCTTAAGCAACGACATGATGGGCTTGTCTGCAGTGCCTAAGATTAACTTACCTGAAGCTTGTGGAGCGTTTCCAAATGCCATTCTAAGGTGTGCTTTGTAATGCTGTTGCAGTCACAGGAACCAGCTGTGCCAGGACAGCTGTGCCACCTAGAAAAGCAATGAAGAAATATGCYCAGGGCTGGGGTACAATTCYTGACACATCTCAGGAAACCCAGATMTATCAGAACATGGTGCCAAGCTGAAGATCACCGAGGACATCCCAGATTCAGCCTCCTCAATTCTCRCTTTAATCCAGTAGCTACAGCTAAGCTAGAAGTCCCCAGCATCACTGCACAGCCATTTTATAAACCATTTACCTCTTCAGACTTACCCTTAGATCAGCAATCTAATTAAATCCTGCTGAGTATCCCAGAGCTGTCTGAGGTGGGGATCATGGAGGTCTCCCCTCATGGGACAGGGGTGGTGAGCTGGAGCTGTGCTGTGTCGTGGCTGGTGTTTGATCCTAACCCTGCAGGGAGATTGGGCTGATTTCTTCGTTCTGCTTCTTTTCCCCAGGTCTGGGAGGCTGATCCCTGGAGACTKTAGGGAAGTGGAACTATGGGGTAGGGAAGAGCATCTCTCCAGGGCTAGAGGGTAGGAGAAGTGCTAGACTGGGATGGGGCTGTGGAAAGGAGAAACCATCTGGAAATAAGCATCGTGGGCATGATGGACAGACTTCATTTCAAGTGAAATGAAATTGCYGTTAGAAAATTGGAACAAATAATCCAGTTATTCTCAAGACCCAGTAATAAATCACTGAAATCCAGATTAATGTACTATTCCCCCATTAGATTTCTCTCTTGAAAAATAGTTATTTTCAGATTTAAATTCTGGTTCTTACTGCAGCATATTCTCATGTCCATAGAACTGTGCTGTGCTCTCATGTTTCATGTAAGAACAAAAGGAAACAGCAGCCTTGTGGATTATGTGTACAACGCTGTAACTGCTTTGAGGATAAAGGAATGAAGTTACTGGGTTGCTTGCAGGATGTGGGTAAAACCTGAGGGGAAGGAAATGGTCATCTTTGCGTTGATAATGTCTTGCTATAGAAAGCAAGCCCACACAGAAAAAAAAAAAAAAAAAAAAAAAAAAAAAAAAAAAAAAAAAAAAACCCAACAAAAAAAAAAGATGATCTGGAACAGAAGGAAGCAGGAGGGAATATGCTCAGAATTTTACTTCAGGTCAGGATGCAAATAATTTTAGTTTAGGGCTGGTCTCCCAAGTCTCTGAAAATAAGAAGTGGGTAAATGCATCTGTTCCTTGGTCCAGTTTGCTACAAAGGGAGGGGATATTATTTTCAGTCCAAAGTAGTACTTACTATGTTGTCCATGTTTGAGTCTTGTCAGTGCTTGAAACCAGATTTCTGGGGTTTTCCTTTCTCATACACCCATTTTGTGTGGCACAGACAAAGAGAGGTGCTTGTCAGGCTGGTGGTTGGAGGAAGAATGGCCCTGTTTACCTGTGCTTCTTGTAGGATAAGGATGCTGGAGAAGAACTGCCACTAGGATAAACCCTGCTTTCCCATATGTTGCCTTTCTGTTTGAGCTAATTGCTCATGTTCCCTTAACGGTTTAATGCTTTTATTTCTGCTGTTGCAACTTCTAATGCCTATAGGAAGCCTTGAATTTGGAAGTTACTAAATGAAAATCAGGGCCCTCATTCTCCATGGAGAAATGCTCTTGGGCAGTGTGGTAATTTCACGCCTGGAAGGAGTCATATTTGTTGGATAATTTTTGTAACTTAACCAAATTAGCCTTGAGAAACTATAGTTCTTAATCAGAGTCATGAACCCTCTGCTCCATTAGTTAGGAACACGGGCAGAAACATTCTTGCACRCAGGGTGGACATTTGGTTTGCAAAGCAGGACAGTGCTCTGATTTTTGGCCCTGGGTTTGAGGTTGTTCATCACACTGAGCCCTCACTAGGGCCACACATAAAACCACACCAGGTCAGCTGCTCTTGAAAAATGAAGCACCCAAGTGATGTTTGTCCTCCTTCTATACCCATCAAAATAAATTTCTTTTGGCAGGAATTAGATTCCTGAGAAGGTTCTGGAGAGTTTTAAAGGACAGTTTGGATATTAATAGGGATTTGGTTAATTACTTCAGTGAATAGGGTTCCGATAATCATGGGAGAGGGAGCTGGAGGGGAAAGTGAGAAATGCCAGCAGGTTCTGGTGTGTCTTTGTGGACCATGGGAAACGAGGTGGGAAGGTCTTGTGTTCTCCAGTTCTGAAGGATGCCACAGCCTGGAGACACCAGTGTTAAAGAAATTTCTGAGGAGGTCTCCTCAGTGATCCAGCAGAGTTTGTTGTCAAGGTTCACTCTGTTGCTTCCCATATGGACCATGCTCAGTTTCCACACACAGGCACAGAGAGATGTGCACATCCAAATCCACGGTACAAAGATACCTAATGAAAGTTCCCTTCAAGCTTGGTGAGATAATCACATCAAATCCATTTGTGCTTCTCAACAGGCAAAGTACTGYGTCCAGTTCTGGGCCCCTCATTGAGGAAAGACATTGGRTGCTGGAKCAMRTCSAGAGAAGGGCARGGAAGCTAGTGAAGAGACTGGARCCAAGTTAAACWGATGTAAAGCTGAAGCCATGAGTGTGTGCTTCTTTCTGACCCCTTTGTGTGGCAGTAATTCCTTCTGTCAGGCTGGACACTCASCTGTGCTGCTCTGACCAASCTGCCCTTGGCCAGCTGGGATGTGGAGGGCAGCCCAAACTCTGCCCCAAGCCTCAGGAGACACGGCTGGTCCCGGGTTCCAAAGCAGCTGGTCCATCTCAYCCTCCATGTGGAGCACAGATCCAGCAGTGGAGTCACTTGTGAGGGCTCCTCCCCATCCACAAACATCCCTTTGCTGACTGCAGCTCACTTGACTGGAGATGCCCTGGTGCTGGGGCTCTGTCAAGGACATCTCTCTGTGCTCTGTGGAGGGGTCTGTGAGGCCAGACAGAGAAAACAAGAGCTAATTAAAAAGAGAGCACTGAAACTTGGACCCATTCCTGTGCGCTTCAGTCTTGGCACAGCGCTGCTTTCCTGCCTCCCTCCTGGACTCACCCAACAGTGGGATGTGAATGCTGTGCAAGGGTGGAGTTAGGGGATAACTCCTCCCCACTCTCTGCAAAGGTCACCAGCTCAATCCAGTGAAACTAAAGAGGAAACAAATGCCCAAAGAGCAGAAATCCCCAAACATGTCACATYGAATCATGGAGAAGCTAATGGGACAGAGCCACGTGGTTAKAGCATGTGCATTCTGCTCTATATCATTAATTTACTGATGTTAAATATTTCAGCAGGTAACKTCCAGGGCTTCCAGAACTGTCCTAGTGGCTGTGATCACAAATTATTCATCACTGGCACTTGAACAAGAAAAGCCTTTCTGAACAAGGGCATTTCTGAGTCTCTTGCCATTTTTTGCCTTTCAGCTGACTCCCTCTGCCTTCCAGAAGGAGATGTCTCTCACCATCAAGCAGAGGCTGGCCAGCACTCAGGAGATGAATCTGCCCCAGGATGTCCAGCTTCAAGACAAGAGTGAGACCTCCCACCCCAAGGTAGCCTTTCCTTGCCCTTTTCCTTGCTGCTTGATGTGACATTTGAAGAGGGTGTGTGCTTGTGACAGGCTTCCCTCCAGCTCATCGAAATACCTCMGTGTCCAGGTCCTGCTGTCATTTCAAACTGCTGCTGGTGGTGATGGAGTTCCTTCTGCTGGGGGAAAGACAAAACTTTTTTCCCCAGTGAGACACTGGAGTCCCAATTTGTRCTAAGTTAACACAAACAACCTCTGCTGAAGCTGGTGGGGTTTGCTGGGGGTTGTAGCTGCCATCCCTAACAAGAGAGGGCTGGGGCAGGACACACGGAAATGAACTTGCCCTTTTCCCTTCTCCTGCTGAAATAGCCACCTCTTGCTTTGGTGTTGTCACTGTCACATGCTTGGGGTCATAGGATTCCCTCCACAGTGGCGGTGATGAAGGCTGAGGACCTGTGGTGATAAATCCTGATTTAACAAAACCAACTGCATTAAAGCTTTGGTTTGGGACCATGTGTGGGACCCTGATGGGGTGTTAGGGTTTGCAGGCTGCCAGATASACAGGGGACTCWCCCTGGGCAGRGGGGAGTGRRTGTGCTTTATCTGGGTCGRTGTTTGCTGATGGAGGTGTTTAAAGCTGCTTTTCTTAGAGGGCTGCTCAGTTTAAAGTGCAATCCCGGTGGGTAAATGACTGAGATGGGCTGTTGAAATTGTCAGCCAGAGAACTGTAACAAACTGGTTAAGGATTGCCCTGAATAACACAGGAGGCTGGGAATGCCTCGGATGGATGCACAAATAACTGGCAGAGTGCTGCAGCCACTGCTCCAGCCAGTTGTGACTCCTGTGGAGATGCAGGAGACCTGCCTGTGTGTTTTGAGGGGAGACAAAAGCTGAGAGGGATTTTATCAAAGTGATACCTCTGCTCAGTAAATATTTGTTGTTTTATCATTTCAGACATGCTCATGCAATAGTATTAATATTACACGAATAATAGATTACAAGAAATTACAAGTCATTTAAAGCTGGTGGGAAAAGGTGATACCAAATCCAGTCTTATTCAAGTTGCCCAGAACTGCTGAGAAAAGACCTGAGTCTTACCCCCATCCAGCACTCACCTAAGTTRTCTTTTTCCTAGCTACTGTATTACTCTCTTTTTGGCCTTACCTCCTCTGGTACTGTTCTCTTCTTGCTGGTGTCTAAGCTTCAGAAAAAAGAAGTATTTGGAGCTGTGTGGAGAGCTGACTCTCTCAGAGTAAAGGTCATTCTGAAATTGTTTCCTCTGGAGCCTGATGTAAGTTCTGGGGTTTCACTTGCTCCAAGAGTGCTCAGAACTCTGTCAGTCAGTGCCCTGGTGCTCTGTGACCCCATTAACACAGGCTCTGCTGGAGGTAAGCGCTGCTTGGGATTTTGGAGTAGGAAACCTGGAGAAACACCTTCCAAAAGAGCAGCTTGGCTTGAGCCTGYTCAGTGTGGTYCAGCAGYTTTTGATCAGCCCAGGRCAGAGGTGGGAGAGCCACTGTCCCTGCAGTGTGGGCTGGGCAGATGTTCTCACCCRGAGTCCGTACTTCACTGGGGATYAGTGCAGGATTCTCATTTGTGAATCTTYCTCCCAGCAGCTGAACCTCTCTCTGCTCTCTCTTGCCTCTCCAGTTCTCAGCAGTTCAGAGCTCACTTCAGCCTTTCCCACCAGAGCTGGTGTTTCAGAGCTACATCCCTGGCGAGGTCTATGAAGTGCCACTGGTTCTGAGGAACAGGGACCTGGTAAGTGCTGGGACAGGGAGGTTTAACGCTGTGCTGRGAGAGAAGGGTGATGTAATTCCTGTGGTGTACAGTAGCACATCCAGAATGTCTCCACACCTTTGTTCTGCAAAATGGTGGAAATCTTCCCAGGGGATTCTCCCCTGATTTTGGCTGTATGTTGGTGGTATCTGACCCAAAGGACCTTTTCTAGCCCCTTTCTTTCCCTTGAGAGCCCTGGATTTATGGGTTTGTTGAGGGGTGTACRGTTCTTACCTGCCCTCATGCTTTACCTCAAGTGTGCACCATGTCCTGATGTCCTGTGGCTCCTTGGTTAATTTTGGTGTTAATTTTTGGCAGGAATCTCTGCCTYTCTCAGCTTCTTTAGCTGCCTCTGTGCACACTTAAAGCTCAGGTGTTGAGTCTTCTCTACTTTATACTGGAATTAGTTATAATTAGTGGCATTGGCACTGCAGGAAACGTGTTTTGAAATAGCCCTGGAATCGGGCTGATTTAGCAGAAGCAGTGGGAGACCTTTAGGTGCCATTTCAGGCTCCTGCTAAGTTTAATTGACCTCTGCTCAGGTTTTCCAAAGGCAACATGGTATTCTGCTTTCCCTTTGGAGAACCACAGCACCTCCAGAGCAATGTGTTCTTGAAGGTCTCCACCTTCARTTGAAAAAACTGTGATTGTTTTGCTATTTCCCAAGAAAGTTGAGAAGGGAAAAGCTGAAAAATGTCAGCGATTGTGCACCACTGTAAAGAGGAAAACAGAGACCTTTCGAATTTCAGTCAGGGGAACATTTCCTCAAATGAGGCTTGTGCCAAGAGCAAGCTGGGGGGAAGAGACAGGACAGAGGAAAGGAGCAGGGTTCAATCTTTTCTCCCCAAGCACTTTCTCAGACACAAGGGTTTCTCTTGATACATAACAGTAAAGTTTAGTGGAAGTAGAGAAAGGCCAGAAAAAGAACAGTGTAATTAAAGGTGGTGTTGTGTAATGAAGAGTAAGATGTGTGCATGGGAGAGAGGCAGGATGGGAAGATGGAAGTGTGAGAGGAGCAGGCACATTTACCCCTTCCCCAAATCTACCTGTTGGGGGAAACAACCAAGGGACAAAAAATGCTGTTGGGGCATATGACAGGTGATAATGGGTTTTGACAGAGACACGGCTGCAAAGGGGAGACCCTTTGGAAGGAAGGATGCAGCTCTGGTCCCTCAGTTATTCCTGGAGATACATCAGTCCTGGTCTGGGGTTTGGATTGGCAATATTGGAAATGTGCAGCATGGTTGTCCATGCCCAAGTGGTTCCATTGGTGCTGATCCAGGCACTTGTGCTGCAGGTTTCCTCTTTGCTGATTCAAATGTGCCTCAGTTTCTCTGTTCCCACTGCTTTTTTTTTGGTTCCCACTGAGCCTTTTGGCTCCAGCTGCTCCAGTATCCATGCAGAACATTTGCCAAGCACAAGCCAACAGAMAAAGAATGAATTTGCTCTACTCATGTTTCCTCAATTGGAAAAGGACATCTGCATTAACATTTCTGCCACTCTCAGTAAAAAATAATGAACTTACACAGCTGCATCTTGGGATTTTTATGCCCTGAAATGGGGCATACAAATGTGTGAGCTGGTGAATTTTTTTCTCAAAAGAATTAATTTTGGAGCTAGTAAGACCTCARCCATTGGACAGCACAGGTGTAAAAGATCATCTATGAGGAAAACACTTGGTGTATTGAAGTGCATAAAGACAGAGATGACAATCCCAAGAGAAGTTATTGCATTCTGATTTTGTTGTCTTTTGGTCATGTCCTGGAGAAAAGCAACGTTCTGTTCTGTCTCCAAGATTTCTCAGCAGATTCCCAGGTTCCTCTGAATCACACCGACTTAGACTTGTGTGGTGACCTGAGGTTGTTTGCTTCATGAAAATCAGCTATCAGCCAAGTGTGTTCCAAATAGAGGCTCTGTAATCATTCAAATATAAACGTCCTTCACCAGTTTGCTGTCAAATTGCTTTTCTGTCTTCCAGCTCTTCCTCACTACCCTCATAGGTGTCCTGCRTGGCTTTTGCTGAAGTTACTAGCCATGTGTATCCAGGAGTCTGTGTGACCACAATGTTTGTCTTCAGTGTGAAATTAGCCCYTGGAACTTGTTGCCCCAGGGTGTTGCTGGAAGCAGATGGTGTTTGGAGAGTTCAGGACTGCCTTGGCTGTGGATTAGCACACTTGGACGGGCTGTACACAGCAAACCTCCATTCTTTTCCAAGCCTCATGTGAGTTTGTTGTTTATCAGTGAAGCTGCCTGTCAGTCAAAATCACTTGTTTTAGACTTTGTGAGATGTGATTTGGTGCTCAGAGGTTGATATCTCTGTGCTAGAAAATGCCTTTTTGCTGTGTTTATGTGTGTTCCAGAGGGCAGAACCTGGCAGCAGGGTGCCTGCAGGGCCTCCTGCGTGCAGGAAGGAATGCCCAGCAGAGTCCAGCTTGCCTGCACTAACAGCAAGAGCCCCTGGAGAGCTGAGATTGGCTTTTAGTAATGAAAACACACTGTGAGTCAGTGCTGGTCATGTTTCTCCAGGCAGAAAAACGCCTTTGAAGCCCATAATTGATAGGCACAGCCTGGGGTGTCATGTGGTTTTCCATCACTTTGGCAAGTTGACTGCTCATGTCTTCTGCCTCARCCTTTCCTGGTAATGTTTTGTGCTYCTCYCTTGCTTCTTTACAGTCCATTTAAATTTGCTRTGCCATCTCTTTGTTTGGGGGTTGTCCCTCTGTCTTGGTGTGTTCTTCCTTTTGCTCTTCAAGTTTGCTTTTGTTCCCAGTAAGGCCACAGTGTCTGATCCGCTCTTGCTGGGMTTCCCATCTGACTTTATCCCCATAGCTGGACTGCCCCACTCCATCTCAGTCTGTTAGAAAGGAATTTCTTCCTTCCTCCAGGATAACATGTACTGTTTTGCCTTCACCTGCAGCTGAAGGAACATGCCTGCTTGGCTGTATGCAGACAGAAACAACAGGTTCTTTAGGCTTGCAGAATGTGTGGGTGACTTGGTTCAGGGGTTGTGTGTCCAYCCTACTGCTGGTGTCTGATCTACTCAGCACTTCCATCAGACACAGCCCTACTGCCTCTGGCTGAGCTGCTTTCCCAGGCAGATGGGATTCACTTCCCTGCCTCACCCTGGACTGAAGCAGAGGTGAGTGTTTTCACACCCTCTGTTCTCCAGCCTTGTACCCGTGCTGTCCCTGAGGACACTGCCCTGCCCACAACCCAGCTGTGAGGCCAGGGGAGAGGAGGAGCTGTGCCGGGGCAGGGAGCCAGCCTGGCACAGGCACATGGAGCTCCAGGTGCCCTCAGTCAGCAGGAGGTTGGTGAGCTGCAGGTGACTTGGACAGAATCTGAAAGAGCCCCTGCAGGGCAGGTACAACCTGTGGGCAGTGACACCGCTGTGGCTGTGTTTTCATGCGTGTCACTGGTTGCTCTGGCAGCTCATAACTGCTCTGTGCCAGACACGCTGTGATTTTGCTTGGAGGTTTGAACATCAGTGCTGCAGCCCTGGCAGGTCTAATCTCAGTGCTGTTATCTGGAGGCTTGTTATTATGGGAGGAAGAGAGTCAGGCTGACTCTGCACCAACATCCTGCTACCTCTTAGCACTGTCCTTCACCTGAAATTCAAGAGGCAAAGGTGGAGGGAGCTCTGAGCCAGCTGATGTTTCACTGAGGCAAAAGTGTAGGACTTCTTTGGGTGCAGCTGTTTTCCCATCTTCCCTTTGCTGCTTAGACTTAGTTAAATGCTTAGTCCTATCCTCAAGCAACATGGATATAGAAACCCAAAGAGGAAATGCACGGCGTTCCCTAGCTCCCTGTTCTTTAGGAGGGACTGAGGAATTATTTAACACTGTTAAAATTTAGAGAAATAATTATGCTGGCCTAGGGCAGTTCTCTGTACCACCCAAGTGACACAAGAGCTTAATATCACAGAGGTAGGCTTTGCAAAGTACACTGCTGACTTTAAAATGTRATTTATTGGTATGAATTAGTTCTCATTTTCGGGGTGAAATAGGCAAATTGATACCCGTGAAGGGCAAAGTGCTGCACTTGGAGTTGAGAGGCAGCAGAGCAACATGTGAACATCACCACAGATAGGAGTAGGRTGAGATAACCCCCAGGAGCACTAATGTCCCATATCCTGTCCCTTGTCTTGCCCTTGAACTGGTGAGTGCATGGCACAGGGAGCTCTGCCAGCGAGAGGTTCTCTGCACAGCTTCACTGACACCCCTGGCTGGTTTGCTGAACTGGGCTTTGGACTTCTTGCAGGGGTTTTGTTGGGCATCAGGAGAGGGTTGTGTGCTGCTCAGCAAGGAGCACGTGAGGRTTTTTTACCGCAGAATCGGAATTTTGTGCGAATTGAACATTTTGTCTTGTACTTGATGGAGTGCGAGTCAGCGAAGTACCAAAGTGCTGTAGCTCAGCTAGAARCACATCAATAGCATGGGCAGGAGGTGCAGAGCACCTTGAAAACCCCTTAGCAAAGAGGCAGGCATTGAGAAACGGTTCTGAAACGCCACCTGCATGGGGCTCAAAGCTGCTGGCACACAGGATATATATGTGGTTTAGTTGTAGAAGGCTTAGGAGTGCCCCTTTGAACAGCTTYTACATCTCAGCTGCTCCACGATCCACAGGGATTATGGATGACCCAGTGACCTGGGCTGCAGGTACAAMCCCCTGTGTCATGGCTGTGGATGTTGCAGCTGGTTTATATAATTCTCTTGCTTTGAATCTGTTTCTTCCCTGGGGTAAGTCTGACTTCAGTGAAGTCACTCCTGATTCAAGGCAAAACTGTGGCTGAACCCTAAATAAAAGGACCATGTGAGTTGTTAGTGGCTGAAATGCCACTGTGATGCCACGTGCTGTTGTGCCCTTTCTTGACAAATGAGCAGCTTCCRATTGTCTTGCAGTCATTTGGGAATGTATCACACGGCTGGACTGTCAGAAAGGAAATGAATAGCTGACATGTCTCTTTGTTTATTGGCACTTGCATTATAAATATGAAATGCTAATGTTTCTGCTGGGCAACGTTTCCAATTAGTTCCTCTTGCTGCTTCTGATTTACACGTTCCCGTTTTATGGCTCCASTTGCCCAGCGTGGGTCTTCTCATGCCACCCTGTGTTCCCTGGTGTCTTTGCATTGTAGTCTGACAGTCTCTGCCTAATTGGAAACCATTATGGAACTGACTGGCAAATACCCAACAGGCAGGAATATTTACATTTGTGTGTCCTTCRGGCTTATTAATAGATTATCTGAAAGGAAGAAGGAAGCAGGAAGCACATAAAATCATAGCACAGCTTATTCTGTTCTGTYCTCTTGTTCTTTTCACTGTAGCAAGACAATATTTTTCAGGCAATATAAGTTCAATCTGTAAGGTTTGCAAAATTCATTGCTGATGCTCAGTGGAGACTGAAATATTGCTCACTGATTAATAGGAAAGATGACAGGACGATGAGTTACTGCATTACTGAAATTAACTCCTTTAAAATTCAGTCCAGCCCTGTTAGATGTTTTGTAGCACACAGAAGTTATTACAAACAGACTTTTAAGATGACTCTTGTAGGGAGGAAAAGGACAGAAGATGAAAGCAAATGAATGCACAGAATGAACSTGGAGAACAGGGACTGGTTTCAAAGACTCCTGTGAATTGGTAGCTGAGGGGGCAGGAGCAGGGGTAYCCCTTCTCCTGTGGAGCTCTCCTCACCCTTCAGAATCTCCTCTTTTTTAATGACACTTTTTTCCAACCTATATGATATCATGGTTTCAGCAGGGAGCTTTCCCTGCTTGACTTACTACATTACCTCATGCTACAAGGATCTTTTCATTTTCAAGTCATCTGCTGCAGGGAATTCAGTGAAGGATTTAGGATTGGTTATGCAGGATAACTGGCATCTGAGTCTGGTGTACTGGACAGGCATTAAGGTTGATGTCACTGTGATACCAATTAATGTTGGCCTGAGTCTGCAAAGGGCCTGGGAGCAGTGCTGGGTTWACGGTTGGAATTAATGATCTTCAAGGTCTTTTCCARATGAAACAATTCTRTAATTCTRTGAAATGACATCTGAGACAAGCARTTGGTTTATTTTCAGTGGCTRCTAATTCAAATGACAGGGGTGATATTTGGAAGGCCAGAGCTTGTAACTTATTGCTTATCAARGGGGAATAAGAGCAGAAGAATCATCCTACAGTCATCTGTATTTTCCTTGAATTTGAGAGAAGGGTTTTTGAAGGCAAAAGTGATATTTGCATGAAAATTGTAGCCTGAAGCTGTGTCTAAATAATCTTTAAAGCATAGAAGCTATGCACCCTCTTACTCAGGCTTATTTAAAAACCTGGTTTTAAATGGTCTGCTTAGGATTTGCAGAGTAAAGCAAGATTTTAAACTGGAGTCAAYTGTACCTCTGGGTTTTGTTCCAGAGTATTGTCCTGGTAACACAGGGCAGTGCTGCAGTGGAGAATTTGCAATCCTGTTCTCCAAAGGGAGGGCAATTCAGCTCCCAAAAGCTGAGTGAACCATGAGTTCACATCAGCAGGGACAGCCAGCCTCTGCCTGGCACTCCCATGTCTCCTAGGGTGTCCYCCTTTCTGGTGTGACACTGCTTTGGTGCAGGGACCCCTTTGTGGGGTAAGAGGCTGAAGGGTCAGCACACTCTGAAGTCTTTGGGTCATGCCTTGCTCTGGCTGCAGTGTCCCAGGAAAAGGGGCTCACACAACGTGCATGGCCATGAATGGGAGAGGCAGCGTTCTCCTCAAGGCTGTGGCTGCCTCTGTGAGGCCAAATCCTCCTTGCTCTTGTCTTGCCTTGGCAGACATGAAGTCCCCTTCCCCCAGCACAGTCCTGCAGTCCCAGTGCCCACCTCTGGCAGCAGAGCTGGGAATGGCTGCCTGCGCTGGCTTTTGGAGGGATTTATTCCTTGGGCTCTTATTTACACTGATGTTGATCCCCTCGCTTCTTAGAAATGACAATGACTTGAAAATTCCCTTTTGCTTCCCTCAGATACCTCCAGTTGTTGAAGTTTCTTTTCTCTTTATCCTGTACTGATCTGAACTCCTTGCATCCTCCTCAGTCTACCTGGCATCTGGAARGGAGAGATAACTGAATAGAGGATGCCAAGGCTTAAAAAGACACACAGCTTTCAATTGGATTTACAATGCCTTTGTTACAGTAGTGTGGCCAAAATAACAACAACCAAAAAAAGGTAAATAGCATTCTCCATTTGCTAATGCAGTTTCTGAGGATCTGAGCAGTCTGGGACGTGAAGTGCCCAGATAATAGGTGCTTTAAATTCCCATGGGCTGCCCGTAGCTTTTATTTTAGAGGGCTTAGGCTGCAAGATTGAGTGCAAAATTGCTAATTCAGAGAGACTTGCTGAAGATGAAACGCTCTCCTGAAATGTGATCTTCATCCTGTAGGTCGTTTGCTGCAGTTCCCTTCCTGGTATTTTACCTTCCAAATAGGAGAAGCAAAAGCACTTCTGCAATTTCAAGTGTGAATATTTGAAATGTCTAGGAAGAAAAAAAAGATCCTCCTTTATTCTTTTACCGTCTTGGATGTGACTGCAGCTGTTTGGGTGGCTTTAAACGGCTGCTGAGCAGATGGTTGGTAGGCACCGGGTGTTAGCTTTGGGTTAAAGCAGTAAGTGTGTGTCTGTGCCCCTTCTGGCAGCCTTAGGTCCCTTTCCAGGCTTGGAGAGGATGGGTATGGGAGTGGGAGGTCCCAGCMACTGAAGAATCTGTATCGGTTCTGGTTAAGGGAGTTTGCTGCTATGTGCAATTCCTAAATCAAATTGTCTGCTTGCTGCTTCAACAATGATAAAAATATCAAACGAGTTGAAAGCACCGAGGACAAAAGATCAGGACAGYAAGTGAGTGATAAGAGGCAGAGCTTTTATCAGCTCATTGATACAGGAGCTGCTGGAAGCGATGGCTCCTGGCTCCACAGCAGCAGCTCTACCTCTGATTTCAGCAGAGGCAAAGCAATGCTGCCAGCACAGCGATGCCATGTCATGCATCTGGTGATTGATCTGTTCATCCCTAAACTGAAATGGTTTTGGTGATTTGATTCACCTTTCTACTGCTAAATGCCAGACAGCTGCGGGGAGTGGGGCTGTCTGGCTTTTTCCTGAACAAGGCAATGACTGGGAATAGCAGGGCTTAGCTTGCTCCAGTAGGGATGCCTGAGGCTTTCCTGTTTGCAGTTCCATCCCATCCTTGTCCGGGCAGGCACCAAGTCACTCCTGGAGACCTTGAAAGAGAGAGGTGATTAAGGCATAGCCATGCAGCAGAGGCAGCAAAGTTATTGCTGTGTCCCCTGCAGCTGATGTGAGATGTAAAGGGGGACTGAAATTCTGCCACAGGAAGAGCTCTCTCCAAGTCTAGGGCAGAGCTGCAATAGGCTGCTGAGGGCAGGGCTGAAATTCTGAGTGATTTAAGCACTTGTCAGACATTGGCAGGAATAGTTTGGCATTGGGGCTGCCTCAGTTTAGTGAGGGGAGATGGCTCAAGTGGCTTTTTAAGGGTGAATGTCCCCAGCCTTGTCCCTATGGTGTTAAGGGTGGGGAATACACACACATCCCACACTCACTGGCATTAAAGTAGTTACTGTCTCCAGCTTGCTAAGTATTTCACCAAAAATGGCTGTTGATCCTGCATGTGGCMAAGTCCTTCTGAAAATGTACCAGAGCACCTCCTGCCAAGCTCCACCATCATCACTGTGTTTCTGGGATTGGAGTTAGTGTCATGGCAAACTGGGTTCTTAGTGGTGCCTTCAATACTCTGCAGTGGTGGTCAAAGCAAGTTCTGCTATTGCTGTAATCCACTACCTAAAATTCCTCTATTTTGGTGCCTCAGAAGCAAAGTATCAGATAATTTTGTCAGGTTCTGCTGTGAAAGCAGGTGAATCAATAGAGTTGTTTTTCCTTAGCAAGTTAACAGCCCTGTCCAAGTCATCCTACTGGAATGAAAGGTCATTGAGGTACAAAGTGCTATTAATTATTGAATGCTACTGTTAGGGTCACAGAACACAGAAGGTTTTCTTCTGCTATGGGATGGCACTAMATGTCCTGTGCTGAGACCGTTTCTTTTCCTGCAGGATTATTTCCACCAGCTCCTCTGCGTCACTGAAAGGGAAGAGATCATTGTGCCAATTCAGGCGATTGGTGCCCGAGCCTTCCTGGACTTCCCTGACAAGGTGGACTTCTCAGTCTGTCCAGTCAAGCACAGCACCCAGAAGGTTCTGCTGGTTCACAACCGCGGTAACCGGGCAGTTTGTTACAGCATCAGGACTCAGAGGTGAGGCAGCTCAGCTTTCCTCGTGCAAAACACCTTTGGGTGATGACAGAGATGGKAAAGAGCAACAAAAGGAACCAGAGCATCGGAGCTGCTGCCCTGCAGCCCTGGCTGGAAATGGGCAGGACGTGTGGGGGTTGTTGTTGCTTCTTGTGTTTTAAKCAGGAAGCGACCTTTGAGCTTTCTCTGTCCCAGATTTCCTGGAGAGTGCTGGAACATGTTGGTATTAGGTTTGCACCCTCCTGAGCACAAGCACCTCTGGAATGGTTACTCACCAGTGTCAGCCAAACAGACCCATTCTGTGGGAGGCCACAGGCACGTGGCTTTCCAGTGGTCCTCTCATGAGATGCCCAACGTGAGCTGTGTTGTGGACAGCCTGTGCTGTTCCTGTTAGTCAAAGCTGATCTGATTTCCTTTGTCATTTGAGGGCATCAGTCATCTCTTCTGTTTCATGGTGAACATTTCAAAGCCAGTTTAAATTTCAARCAGATGATTTAAATCTTTGAGTAGAMGCAGCATTTTTATTCTAATTAAGTCACTCCCAGTTTCTCTAAGATTTCTTTTTAAGTACGCTGAAGTTCTTGTGTTTCTGCTCTTTTTTTTTTCCTGTTTTTGTGTTAAATGTTTGTCATGTGTCATCATGAATTCTTCAGTGGGAGCTTTCTCAAAGGTTAAGCTCCTCTAATGCCTGTTCACTTACCATCTGCCTATTGCTATATGCATTGGTATTGCACAGGTGTATAGGAAATAGGAGAAATTTGGGGAATATATGAAAGGCMATTGGGCTGATTTAGAAGATAGAATCATAGAATAACTTTTGTTGGAAGGGACAACTGGAGATCATCTGAGCAAACACACTACTCAAAACAAGATCAGTGTCTGGGGCTTGCAAGGTGCCATTGGGAGATCWGGACCTGTAAAGGTTTAGATGTCTTACAAGAAAGCAAACATACAAAAGGACAGAGTTAAAAAAGCAGAAGAAAACAAGYTATTAAAAAACCCTTCAAAACCTTATCTTTTCTGCCTGTCGGGAGCAGTAGTGATTCATGGAAAGGGTAGATCTAATGGGACGAGAACTATCATAAGGAACAGCTCACAATTAATGGATGAGAGGCCAAAGTTTAGCCTGCCAGCTCCATCTCTTGGCAGTGGTTTTCATTTGGCTATTACAGTGTGTCAGGGATGTCTCCTTCACAGCTCTTCTTATCTGTGGCCTCAGGGAACAGATCGTGCCGTTGGCTGAAGTTCAGAGCAGTTAAGTTTARCCATGGAACTTGCATCTTTGGGTCTTGGAGAGCCAGGTCTGTGTGAGGGGTAATGAGTTCCTGCTGCAGCAGTAACAGAGGGGTCTGGTGGGTACAGCCTGGGAGGGGATGTAGGAGATGCAGGGGCTGATTTGCGGTTGGTTTCTCAGTCTTGAACATTCAGCCTTGAACTTGGCTGCACCCTCTTCTGATAATCTGAAAATAGGAAGTTATTTTCTTTCTCAGRCATCCCCTGAAGTCACCCCCTGGAGCGTTGCTCCCATCCTGCCATCTGAGGGCAGGAATACGTAGACAAAGGAGCAGGAGTATGAAGAGAATGAGATTGGGAAGTAGCACGGAAATACTGCCAGGAATTATCCTTAATGTCCCACATACCTTCTCTGTTTTGGCAAAATTTCTGACAAAAGAATAGGAAAAATAGGAAAAATAGGAAAAATAGTTCTGTGTCTTCCACACTGGGCACTAATCCCCCTGAGCCCCAGCAGAGACCTCCAGCAGTCCTGGCACCACCACTGGGGCACATGTAGGAGTAATCCAGCTTTGGGGCTGTGGAGCTGTGTCTTTCTTTCCCTCTCTGCAAAGTCTGAGGTCCAGCACATAAACAGTGCTGGCCCAGGGCTTCTCCACTAGCCAGTAGTGCTGTTMTCACTTGTGTTAATGGGAACAGGTCAGGCATAATTGCAGCAATAGCTCCTTAATGAGCAGAAACTCCACCATTTTCATCAGCTGTCACTACTGACATGTATAAAGTTCAACTTGCCCACGGCTCCAGTTGTACTCATTATTTTTGTATGTGTTGCCCTAATCATCATCAAACTCTGCAGAACATGTTTTTAAGGTGATAAGTTGACCAGCAAAGCACYAAGACCAAGAACCAAGACTAAGAACTTTTGCTTTCTCAGTGGGTCTGTACAAGAGCCCAAAGCCCATCAGCTGCTGGCCAGAAGTGTGTTTCACCTGAGCTCCCCCTAAGCATTGAAGCATTGAATTTTGTGTCTCAGCCAAGRGTTGTTTACCTGGTGRCAAATTCTAATTGCTCCWGCTGAATCCAAAGTGCACCAAAACATTTTCATCRTTATTTCCAACACATTGCATGGAGCTTGTCTGGTGGGCCAAGCAAACAGTTTTCAGCTTGGATGACATCCCAGAGCCCCAGATTGCATCACTGGTGAATACACAGAAATCTCCCRTTCAGCTCTCTTGATGTGCTCTTCTTAATGGTGCTTCATTTAGCTGGGATTGAATTCTTCAGGCTGTGAATGGRATCCTCCTTTTGGGTCTTGTTTCCATGTTATATTGTTCTAATCTTTGTTTGCACTCATTCAAAGTTTTGATTGCTGCTCCTCTTAGGGCAGCTTTCATTGAAATGCTGATAAAATATGTCTTTGYTTAGGCTAAAACAGGATGTTTTCAAGGTAAAAAATCCCAAACAACCACAGTGCAAATTAAATAATTAATCTTTGGTCTTCAAGRCTTTTGTTCTCCCTGTCTGATTTCCAGGCTGTAATCTCTCAGGACAGGTARTGCCCTGACATTTGTATCCCTTAAGGTGATGTTTATAGGTGGCAGGAAAAGAGAGATTCCTGAGGCAGTCAGTGTCAAGTTGTGTGTGCAAATAGTTCTTAACCCTCTCTGTGCTCTTCTCAAATCATCTTCTGATAGGATTGCTGGCAGTCAGACCCTTGAGCTTCATTGCAGAGAACTGGGGAACACACTGAGAAGAAAAAAACAAACACTGATGTAATGTCTGACGGGGAAGATGAGACACGAGATCACAGGGAAAATTAAGGCATTTTTAAAACAGCTCACTAGGGAGCTGATGGKGAGCTCTTCAGTCACCTGTGGAATGCAGTGAGTTCCATGGGATGTRTTAGAGTCACTGGGGCTTGGGGAAGCTGATGAGTAACTACTGCACTGGGTGTGCCTGACTGTCAGCAGGGGAAGCTGTGGCAGAGGCTACACAGCATTGCAAATGGGCCAAGGGGAATTGTCAGCTTGTTAGTGACTGYTCAGCTGCTGTGCTGAGCAGCGTGGGGCTGCCAGCTGAATATGAGAATGTTGTGATGCTGAATCCCTTCTGCAGTGAGCAGTGATGCCGGGTKTGGCTGAATCAGCTTCCTTTGGGATGTGAGGCCATCCATGCAAGGCTTGGTGGTGTGTTAGTGGTCAGTGTACACACGCTGGAAACTCCAGCCCTGGCTGATTATTGCTGTTTGAGGCTGAACAAGGAAATGTAGTGTGGATGTGCCGGCACCTGTGAACATCTCAGCTACCCACGGGGRTAAAGCATCTGAGAAAATTGCTGCCTTGCTCGGATATTCATCTGTGTTTTTGTGTAGATGTTGCAGAAAAAAACCTTTTCTTTTTCCTTAAGAACCCCCTTCCTACCAAGGGTCAYCATCTGTCTGGCAAGGCTGGTGTTGCAATCAGTGGCTTCCAGGAACTTGTTTGAGAAATGAAATGAAAATCCTATTGATTTAGTCTCTTGATCGAGCCTTTTCCTTTCTTTCTTTTTTTTTCTTTGTAAATCCCTCGATGGATGTGGATAGGCAGCAGGGTTTAACTGGGGCTTAGCTCCTGTCGCCTTGCATTTTACATTCCTGAGATCACTCAAACAAGTTCCTGAGTGCTTTCCATTTATATTGACTTCAGCCAGAAAGGAAGATATTCGATACTTACCTAATGCAGTAGTGAGTTGCTCAGGCATTTTTCTGAGCTGCCCGTGTTGTGCAGGGTACCAGGGTAGGAATACCAAAACCCTTTTCGGTTTGAAATCAGCCTTGTGTGAGTGTTTGAGGGGGTTCTGATGCTGCTGTGAGCATTGTTAATTTACTATTGAGATAAATTCATGGCAGCAGACCCTGAGCTGCCGCTGGCCACCACTGTGTTGTCCATCTTCATGCAACTCTCCGTGCACCCAGACAGACTGGTAAGACTTTATACCAAGTGCTCAGGGTGGTGAAACCTTCTGCTTCCAAAGGAGCAGCCTCTTTTGATGCCAGAGCTTTACTGGTGCAACAGATGAACTTTTTTTCTGTTTGTGTTTGGTGCAGGCAGCTGGTAGRAACTTTATATCCTGAGAGTTTTAAAAGATGTTGTTTCCTGTGTTACCTTAGGTGTAAGCCAGTKTGATGCTCCAGTTATTACAAGACCAAGCTTTACCTTGGATTAGAARGAATTTCAAAACTTTGCAGAGGGATTTTTTTTTCCTGCTGGTCACAGGTGGCTGTTGCTCCTTCTGCTTTTCCTTCGCTTGTGAGAATTCCCAGCAGCATGGCTGCTTCCTGTTGAACTTTTATGTCCTTGAGTGTTTGTTTCAAAGTGAGTTGAGGAAGTCAGTTATTGTAGGCAAAAAARGGTGTAAATAGCAGTTTGTGCAATTATATGGTGATTTTGTGTCTTAATAATAGGAGTGCTGCCACAGATGCAGGATTGGTACCTAATGCTTTATCCAGCTGATTGGTTATAGGCTTTTATAGTTCCAATTAATTAGCTTGATGGGTGAGCCTAATTGGTCTCCAAARTGCTCATTTCTGTCAAAACAGCTAATAGGTAACAACCACTTCCTGCCTTTGTTCCCCTTGTCTARAGCTGCTTGTAATAATGATTTTTATACTGGTTTAGATAAGGTTTTTCTGCTGCTTGCAAACAGAGTATGGCCTTTGTCCTCTCACCAGGGCCCTGTGTTTCAAGACAGATGGTCTGTCATTTTGAGGGTAGGTGAAGGGGAATAAAGTT